TATTTGCGGTCTCTTCAAAGATTCAAATGGGATTCTCCAGACAAAGCAGACAAAGAAAGGATGTTGGGATACGTAACCAGTTTATGGCTGACGGCCTTCTTTTTGATCCAGCAAGCAGACAAGACCTAAGGATTGGTGCCCTCCGTGGTTTTCCTCAATTTGCTGGACTTCCCGGAGGATTGCAGCATCACAGCGAATGGATGGGGGAGTGATGTGCAATCCACCACCATATTTAGACTCCCCAGTATGTGGCTTGATTTTCAGAGGTGCTGCACACTTACTGAAGTCTCTTATTTAGGTGGTTACATAGAGTTTTAGGGGCCTATCTTTAGGCACCCATTTAACTAAGCCTCATAGTCTGTTATCTGTAATCATACACTTAGATCAATGGCAGTTACAGTCTCAGATTAAGGACTTGGTACTAAAAGCACTTATGCACTTGCTTAACGTTACTACTGTGAGTAATTCCATTGCTTCTACACATGTAGATGTTTGCAGGACTCAGGCAAAACCCAGCAAAGCCAGGATTTTGAGGCCTAGAGATCACTTAGGATCAGGAGGTAGGCAGTACTTGGAATGATAAGGTTGGCATATAGACATTTCTGGAAATCTGATTTTGGAAATATTTTGTATGTCTACTGCATATTTTATTATATGTATCAAAAGTTCCCAACCAAGATCAAGGCGCTATTGTGCGAGGTGCTGTACAGTCACTGTAAGTGACAGTTCCTTCCCTAAAGAGTTTACAATCTAAGGCCTGGTCTACATTACTGGATCAGGTCAACGTAAGAGGCCTTGTATCAACCTAGCTGTGCAAGTGTCTTCATTTAAATTTGGCTCCTGCCAACATAAGTTCCTCTCTACACCGATTTAGTAACATCACCTCCCCAAGCAATGTAGCATCACAGTAATTAGGTCGACTCAGTGTACAGGTAGGGTGACCAGATGTCCCGATTTTATAGGGACAGTCCTGATATTTGTTTTTGTTTTTTAATATGGGCT